AAAAAAAAAAAAAAAAAAAAAAAAAAAAAAAAAAAATAAAATTGAAATCCATTTTTCATTTCTATAACCTCAGAACCCAGGGGGAAAAAAAACAACTGGATACCTGGGACACAGAGGAGATGTTACTGGAAAATCCCTGAGAAGCTTCCTCTGGATCCTGTGGTTAGTATTCCTTATATGAAGGGGAGAGGGGAGACAGCAAGACTGAGAGAAAGTATGGGGCCAGGGGCAGAGGGCAGGTGCCTGGAGGGGAGCAGTCTTACACCCTCTTGTGCATAAGGGCCAACACCCTCCCAACCAGGAGTGATCTGGGAATGACAGGAAATCTGGTGTTTAGCTTCACTTGCACTGACTGGCTGTTTTCTTTCTCTTATTACACTTTTAGCAGGGTATTAAAGAGAAAACTGGAGGGAAAAAAAAAAAAACATCTCATATCCCTCCCTCAGCAAATGGGCTCATCTCTAGAATTGTTAGTACTGCTCAGTTTTTCACTTCTACTTACTAATACCTCTAAAGTCCCCCTACAAGTCCACCTATCTAACATCATATCCCTGAGGATTCCCATTGTTCCTGTACATCTATGTTCTAGCCGTCAAATGAAGCTTATACCTGCGGAGAGGCTTAAGAAAAGTTAGGTGGCATCCGTTTGAGAATGAAGATGACCTTGGCAAAGAAGAACAGAGGCTTTAGGTCTTTGCACCCAAATGTTCCTCATGAAGCCTATGAACAACATGTTATGGGTGAACCAACTGAAATCGAGTCTTAGAAGTGGAGGGTCATTTTGTGATTACATTTTTTTCCCCTAAGGTTCTTGGGTGTAAGAGGACTGGCAGAAATAAATAGAACTTTTCTGCTGAGAATTATGCCCTGCTGAATCATTTTCAGTCATGCACCTGAAAACAAGTCGGTTTTAAGCTCCCTGCCATGGTCTGTGAAGCCTGGCAGCAATTCCCTTGCTATCCCGCCAGGAAGAACAATTACTGCCTCTCCCAACACTTTGGTTAGGTATGCAAAAACTGTACAAACTTGAACACAATCAGTCTTCCATCCCATGGAGGGTAGTGGTAGTATTTACTATTATTACAACTATTACTTTCACCATCAGTATCACAGCCAACATTTATTGAGAGCCTTCTGGATGTCAGGCCTTAGGCACAGGCCTAAGTTCTTCACATTCATGATCTTATTCACAACAACCCTTAGGGGTAGGCAGTACACCTGCCTGCATTTTACATATTAGGGAAGTAAGGAGCAGAAAAGTTAAACAATTTGCCCAAGGTCCCACAGTCTGTAAGAAGCAGAGCAGGGATTTGAATCCAGGTCTGACTCTAGAGTTGGCATTAGGCCAGAAAGATCTACTTATGCTTTTCTCAAATTCCATGCAGAAAGAGAAAGCTATATCCAGAAAAGTGCAGAAATGTAGCCATGCCCAAGTCAAGAGAATTACATTGATAGAAATAAGCATGACAATAGTTGTAGCAGACATGGATGACTGAGTACTTCTATTTTGCCAGGTGCTGGGATAAATGCCTTACATACTATTGCCTTTCATCTTCACAAGCCTATGAGGCTGGTACTATTTATTACATCATCTTACAAAGGAGAAACTGATGTTCAGGGAGGTGAAATCATTTGTCCCAGGGCACCCATTAGGAAGTGGCATAACTGGTTTTCAAACTATGGTCCAACTCCATAACTCATGCTCTTAACTTCTAAGCCTACTAGTCCATACTTGTTTCTGAAGGATAGAAACCTTGCACAGAATGATCGGTCTTACAACCCCATCTAGAGTGTATGACACTAAGATTGCATCATTTGCTATTATGCATTACACATGACCTTATTTCCAAAAGAACTACCCCAGGCACCTTGTGGGTTTTTGACAGGGTTCTGAGACAGAGCCTCTAATCCAACCTCAGTTGTTAAACAGATGAAGGAGTTTGGGGTACAGAGAGGTTAAGTGCAAAGATTGTACAGCTGATTACTGACAGAGATACTCTTAAAATCCAAATATCCTGTGTGCCCAAGCCAGTACTCTATCTTTCCTGTCCAAAAGTACTGCTTCCTCCTTGGGTCTTCTCTGGCCACTCCTGACCCACCTACTTTCCTCCAATTTGCCTAATAAATGTCACTGAAGAATTATGTTGACAATCATTCTCACTCAGGGATTCTTCAACTATTTCTACTGAAGAAGGGTTTTATCAGACAGAAAATGTAATTCAACAAACCAGTGTTCTTAAGAAAAGTGAATCATCTACATTTGCCTTTCTGGCATGTATATTTATGAGACAGGCATAATTTCTCAGCCAAAAGGGAAGTGTGGTTAAAAGGGGGTGAGAGTGCTACCTATAAATGTGGGAAAGTTGGAGAATTTAGGTTGAAACAACCTGATAAATCTCAGTTTCAGTATATTGGCACACTTCCCCTTGTATAATGTATGTGTTCCTGGGTGTCAACTAAATTTTCCTATACACAGTCTATCAATCACAAAGTTATTTAAAGAATATCCCCTCAATACAGTCAGCATACCTCTATTTACTTGTCAAGTGAACCTTAATTTTGTTGCAGCAGGCTGTTACTGTACTTCCCAAATCCCATATCAAGCTGGGTAACCCTGGCAATTTCCCCCAGTGAAGACAGGAATAAGGACACCTACCTCACAGGGTTGTTGTCAGGATCAAAGGGGAAAGTCCATATAAAAATGCTTACCATAGTGCCTGACATATAATAAGTAGCTCATTAAATCCAAGCTACTATTATTATGATTAGGGGAGGGGCTTAGATCATTAGACAGCTATGCCCTCCTTCTGGGAGAGGTATCCTCTTTTCTGTAAAGGACAACCCAAAGAGAGAGGTCTTGGATTCTAATGTAAAAAGAGCATGGAGAATTTAAGGTAACTCTAACCACTGCCAACCACTGCCTCCCATATTCTTGTCTTTGAAAATCCTAAATCTGCCAAAAAGGTCTTACAAATCCATACCTCAGCATAGCAGCCTGGAGATCTAGATTAAGGATACTTTCTTGACCCTAGGTGGGGCAAATTTACTTTCAGGCAAATGGTTGCCTTGGAGTTTCTCTTCTTTCATTGTCAAGGTCTTAGCCTCCCTCCTCCAGGACTTTTAAAGCTTAGCTCCTGCCATAGCACTTTGTGAGCAAAAAGACCCTGGTCCATCATTCAACAAGCCCCATGTGGCTCTGAGTACTTCTTCATTTTGTCTTGCAAGACAGGCCTTGGTTTTCTGACTAGAGAATTCAATATGCAGAGGTGGAGGAGGCGTCCCTTTGCTTGGAATGGATTTCAACTCCTGACATCTAGTCACCACTCTTCATTTATATGTTGTTTCTACCCTGCCAGCAGTACTGGTATCCAGTGTGATCTGCAGAACACAGGTCATAAAGTGAGGACACAAAAAGAGTCAAGAAAGAACAGCGATCATTTAGGGTTAGAGCATGCAAAACAGTAGTAGCTAACATAGCAATAAATCCCCTGAATATTTGAGTGTTTGGTGTTTGGGCCATACCTGTTGTGTTTTGAATATCATTCTTCCCTCCCAGTAACCAATTAGAATCACTCATTTTCAAGGCAGTTTCTACTAGTGAGATTTAACCAAGTTCAATGAATACAACACCACTCTTCTCAGGAGAATCCTGACAACTAGCATTCTTAACCATAAAATGCCATTGGCCATGAGTGGAGCAGGGGTCACCTGGACTCACTGCTTTGTCACTAACCCCTGTAAACCCTTTACTGGGTTGACCCAGTAACTGGGTCAATGACCAAAACTGGGATTTCTGACAGGAAGGTGTGTGGAGTATGAGGGTTATTGCCAGCTTTCCAGGAATGGAAATCATCTCTGCATCCTACTTTATTTTCACAGGTATTGCTAAAACAACTGTAGCCATGGCACCCTTGGCCTATGCCTTATTTCTTTAGCTATAACAATCCATCCTCCTACTCTCCTTGCCTTTTCTCTCATATCAATCTCTGTGCAAAACACAGGTGGTGTTATCCCAGGTGAGTGAAAAATCAGCAAGAACTTCCTGCTGTTGGCACAGAAATAGTATCAGCTGGGGGTTGTGGGAGTCAGGGGGCTTGTACTTCCATCCCTATGCCTATGAAGTGCCTGGCTCAGGTCCAGGGAGCCCAGGAGGTTCTGCTGTCAGGTGGTGGGCAGAGTGATGTTAACAAAGCACTCAAACCGTGCTGTGTGATGATGACTCAAGAATCCCACGCAATCCCACGCTCATGCTAGTCGCCACTTACAGGAACTAAAATAGAACTCTGGTGCTAAGAGACAGCAAGCCTTTTATATCTGCTTGGAAAAATGAGCCCAGTCCTAAGAATTACCATGCTATTCAATACATGGAATGTGTTTCCATTTGTTTGTGTCATCTTCAATTTCTTTCATCGGTGTTTTATATTTCACAGAGTATAGGTCTTTTGCTTCTTTGGCTAGGTATCTTATTGTATTTGTTGCAACTATAAATGGGGTGGGTGATGGGTATTGAGGAGGGCACCTTTTGGGATGAGCACTGGGTGTTGTATGGAAACCAATTTGACAATAAATTTCATATATAAATAAAAAAAATAAATGGGATTGATTCCTTAATTTTTCTTTTTGCTGCTTCATTATTGGTATTTAGAAAGGCAACAAATTTCTGTACATTGATTTTGTATCCTGTGACTGCTGAATTTGTTGATCAGTTCTAGCCAAATTTTTTGTGGGGTTTCTTTAGGGTTTTCTATACAGAATATCATGTCACCTGCAAATAATGGAAGTTTTGCTACTTCCTTGGTGATTTGGATGCCTTTTCTTTTTGTTGTCTGATTGCTGTGGCTAGGACCTCCAGTACTATGTTAAATAATAGTAGTGAGGGTGGACATCTCTGTCTTCTTCCTGACTGTAGAGGAAAAGCTCTCAGTTTTTCCCCATTAAGAAGGATATTAGCTGTGGGTTTTTCACATATGGCCTTTATTATGCTGAGGTATGTTCCCTCTAAACCTACTTTTTTCATGGTTTTCATCATGAATGGAAACTGTACTTTGTCAAATGTTTTTTCTGCAGCTATTGAAATGATCATATAGTTCTTATCCTTTATTAATGTGGTGTATCACGTGGATTGATTTGTGAATACTGAACCACCTTGCAACCAAGGAATAAATCCCACTTGATAATGGTGAATGACTTTTTAAATGTATTGTTGGATTTGGTTTGCTGGTATGTTATTGAGAATTTCTGCATCCATGTTCATCAGGGATATTGGCCTGTAGTTCTCTTTTTTAGGGGAGTCTCTATCTGGTTTTGGTATCAGGGTAATACTGATCTCAGAATGAATTGGGAAGCTTTCCTTCCATCTCTACCTTTTGGAATAGTTTGAGAGGAACAGGTAATAACTCTTCTTTAAAATGTTTGATAGAATTCACCTGTGAAGCCATTGGCCCTGGAATTTTGTTTGTTGGGAGTTTTTAAAATAACTGATTCAATTTCTCTGCAGGTCATCAATCTGTTCAAATTTTCTATTTCCTCCTGTTTCAGTTTTGGTAGTTCATGTTTCTAAGAATTTATCCATTTCTTCCAGGTTGTCTAATTTGTTGACGTACACTTTTTCATAATATTCTCTTA